TCAAAAAAGTTTACGTGGCGGTTTCGGACTTGGCAAGTGTTTTTTATTAACATATATAGAAAAAAAAACGTTAAAATTGAAAATTGTAAATGTCTATGTAAATAGCTCAAAACGATTCAACATTTTTCGTAATTTTTTTATTAATAGATAATTATAAAATAAACAATAAAATAATAAAATCATTGTATGAAAATTTGTTCACTTACTGCAGGTTAAATAAGGTTAAAAAAAATTGACTTCCCCATAAACTTTTTTTTTTAATTTTCTTATGCCTACAAATAGCTTAAAAAGAGAAGCAATATTTTGAAAATTTTATGGAGCATGTAAATTTTTAATAACCTAAACATTCAGTGAAAATGTCATGTATTTACGGTCATTATTTTAGAGTTCCATCAAACACCAAAATCGATTTTGTGTAAAGATACCCTTAATTTATTTTTGTTTTCCTTGACGCTTATGAAAACTATTGGGACCCCTCCCCCTTAATACAAACTAGATTTACTTTCCTTCCAGAAAAGATAGAAGCTGTTGAAGAAAATCGCAGAATTTTTACTGTCCCAAAAGTTAATGACACACAAAATAAAACACACCGATGTAAAATCAATACATTCACAGTTTCACTCAGAATGTAAAACAGGTACCCATGATTTCACAACCATCTATAACGGAAAATTTGATATGGCTATTTAATATTTCGAATATTTATAGACTATAGCATGGTGTGTAAATCCTTGCAAAAGTTTTTGAACATTATTTTAAAGCAACGCAAATTTACTTCTAAAAATCTTTTGAAAACGTATTTGTAACAGAGAATCTATAAGTACCTACTACTGCAGTACCACTTGTGAACTACGAGTACCTTGTGCCTAAAATTATATGCATCACTTATTACACAACGAACCACGAACGCGATGCATAAATAACAGAATTCCATCCTTCACCAAAAACAACTATGAAATTATGATGACTGGTGGATGGGTGGGTATATAATATCAACAGTCCGTCCCAATAAAATCACGAATTCAGCGTGGACACCTGTTGTGGGAGTATGGTTATTGGTTACGGTCGTTACGGAGTTGGGAGAACGGATGACGACCAGTAATCACACTAATCAGTGAATCAGTCTATACTCTACAGTCTACAGTTCTAGCGTTCGAAAGTGTATACTGATACGACATCGTAGGTACAATTTGCTGCGAATGCTGCGATTTTTTTCAGCTTTCCTTTGATAAATCGTATTGTTTTCAAACAGTTCGTTCCTGATTACGACACATATGAAGTACTTGCCATGCACTACTCGGTACTAACCTAACCACAGTCAGTCATTTATCCACACGTAAATACGTAATCTTCGTTGACGTATTGAACAGGATGTCATAAAATTACGCCTGATTTTGAAACACCTGACGGACGTCGGCGATTGACCGAATACATAGTGTTGAACCAAACAGCAAACCCTGAGAAAGGTGAACAATATTCTATTTTTAAATCAGGTCAGAGACCTCTTGTTTTCAACTTACAGTGTCAGTATAGTGATCTGTGTTATACAGACAGGAACCACAGCGAAAGAGTTAAGTAGTTAACCATATTTATCTTAATCGGCAATCAACACTCGATGATAAGTATAGTCAATATTATTTATTATTATATTATAATACATTAATATTTAATGTTGATATGAATGAAATTTCAACGGCGAGTAGTACACCTACACACTACATGATACAAAATAACGACTGCTTGGTGAACATAATATTATATTATTTACTAAAATATTTTAACCTTGGCTAGTGGTATAATTATAAGTCATTACTAGTTTGAGTATATAGATAACAGAAATAATCAAAGTATAATTAATTGATAGTTTGAGAAATATATCAAAATATAAACATAAACAGCTACTATCCCAGAAATTAACAACAACTATAGAACAAACATTTTTTTTTAAACTTTTTTCACAATGTTTTCAAATTGTGTTATTACTAGAAACATTCAGCATAGTTGTAAATTGTTAATTGTTGGTGGAGGTTCTGGAGGATGTACGATGGCAGCTAAGCTCTCAAAATATGAACGTGATGTGATCATACTGGAGCCTAATGATACGCACTACTATCAACCTATGTTCACGTTGATTGGTGGTGGTATGAAAACTATTTCCCAGGCACGTTCTTCTACAAAATCAGTGATTCCAAAAAATGTAAATTGGATCCAAGATAAAGTCAAACATTTTAATCCAAAAGTAAATATAGTAACGACATCAAAAGGAGATACAATTAATTATGATTATATGGTGGTATCTATTGGATTACAATTTAATTTTGACCAAATCATTGGCTTAAGAGAAGCTCTCGATAGAAAAGATAGTGGAGTATGTACAAACTATTCATCTCAATATGTGGAAAAAACATATCAAGTTTTGCAGAATTTCGATAGTGGAAATGCCATATTTACATTTCCTAATACACCAATTAAATGTGCTGGAGCCCCTCAAAAAATTATGTATATTACTGAAGACTATTTAAGAAGAAATGGTAAAAGAAGCAAGGCGAATATTATGTACAAGACATCCACACCTGCAATATTTGGAGTTAAAAAATATGCACAGAAGTTACAGCAAATATGTAATGCACGTAATATTTCTGTTGGCTTAAGACAAAATTTAATAAAAATAGATTCTACTCAGAACAAAGCCACTTTTGAATTTCTTGATGTACCAAATAAAACTGAATCAATAGAATATTCTATGCTTCACGTTACTCCACCAATGGGTCCACCAGACGTTTTAATGAAATCCAGTCTCAGCAACAGTGCTGGGTATTTAGATGTTGACCCTTATACATTACGTCACAATGTTTATGGAAACATATTTGGAATTGGAGATTGTACGAGTTGTCCAACATCAAAAACAGGAGCTGCAGTGGCAGCTCAAAGTATTGTTGTTCTTAAAAACATGATAAATGTGATGAATGGTAAGGACATCAAAGAAAAATATGATGGATACTCATCTTGCCCATTAGTCACTGGATATAGCAAATGCATTCTAGCAGAATTTGATTATAACCTTAAGCCATTAGAAACATTTCCAATAAACCAGGGAAATGAATTGCGCAGCATGTTTTTCATGAAGAAACATGCACTTCCATTTATTTACTGGAATTTAATGCTTAAAGGTTACTGGAACGGCCCAAAAATTATAAGGAAAATTATGCACTTTGGTCTTGATTAAATTAAGTTAAATAATAAAAATACTACTTAAAGTCTAGAGTTATTATCATTATAATAGGTACATATTAAGTGTTAGATTGTATCTATTTTATTTACATAAGAATTATTGTTATTTGATGATGCCAAAAATTTAAAACACTATAATTAATTTTACTAATACCTAATAGTTATTATTTCTTATATTACCTATGCAAAATGTATACCTTATACCTAATACTTTTGTTTTATTATTTATTTGTAGTTTGTATATTTATTGTGTAAATCAATGTCTTAATGTTCTATATTAAATATTGTATTTCAAATAATTTGATTCTAGATATTAAAATAAGAATTGGGTTAGGAGCCCCAAAAACAATTAAAACCTATAAATGGTGATAACACCAGATGTTGAACAAATTGTCTTAGTAGCTGCTGTAGGTATAGTACAACAAGTAAAGTGAGAATTTTTACAAATTTAATGTTTAAGTAATAAAATAAAAATTTTACCTGTGATTTGAGTGTCATTGAAATGTGATTTATGACCAAACTCAGAAGTATCCAGTATTGTATCATTAAAATCTGCTAAATTATTGTTGTCAGTTTCAGATGTTTCATCTATGTAATGTTTTAAGTTTTAATTGTTACTTCAATTGTACTACTATTTTAAATTATGTAATATATATTTACTATTTATGTTGTATAAAATATCTTCTTTATTAGCTTCAATTACAAGTTGAACTAATCCATCAACTTCATCCATTAACACATTATGGTCTTCAAGCAAATGGCACTAAAATTAAAAATCTATAAGCTAATATATTTTAAATCTATTTTTAATCCTATTGATTAAATTCCAAATGTGAAATGAAAATGAATTTCATGTAATATCAGAAGAAGAAAAAAATGTTAAGTTAATAAAAGATTTGTGGTAAGATAAAAGCACAAAAGTTTTCTATCTACACATACATAGTTTTACAACAGATTTTAAAAAAAGGGTATATGTTTAGTATGTGACCTATCGAGCTACTTGTATTTCCAGGTTTAGTATATGAAATACCCGGACGATTATCTATAAAATGTATTCCTTAACATTTTTTTTAAATGACCTAAATTACATTTTTATAATAAAATAATTTTATGACAAATGTAATCCTGTATTTTTTTTTTTTACTAATTAAAAAGTAATAATAAAAAACATGATTTAATGATTTTCAATTTGACTGTGTTCGAGTGTTTTTTTATAAGTAGTATCAAACATAAACTTAAATTACAGACAGTGGAGTTAATAGATAATTTAATTAAATTAATTTTTATTTTGTTTTAATAAGATTAAGATATTCAATTATAACACCAAAAAAATTATTTTAGATAGTAAAAAAAAAAAGAAAAATGCTAAGTTAATACTTACTCGAAGAACATTTACTGAATAAAATATATTATCACATCCAACACATTTTGTTCTCACAAAAGGTTTAAGTGAAGAATGATGGAACTGAAGATTTTTTTCATTGTGTTCCGAAATAAATTTAATGTTCAAAGAAATAAATGGACATAAATCACAATAATAAAATCCTAATCCATTTATAGTCTTAAAGTTAGTGGAAGCCGTTCTTTTTTCTTCTTTACATAATGTTTTTTGATTTTCAGAAAATTCCCGAAAGAATGTTGACATTTGACTATTACCCAAGTCTAGTAGATCATCATTGTTTGAATTTTGAACATCAAAATCAGTAGACAAGTCAGATAAATTGTTCATCAAATGTTGTTGAGGATTAGCCGTAATAATCGTTTTAGATATTAGCTTCTCGTCAGGTATTACTCTTACACGTTGGGCAACTAACCGATCTCTATCCACAAGCCTTAAGGTTTGATTAGATGGCTGTAGTCCGATTGATGACAACATATTGGAATTGGTTGTCAATAAAAAAAAGAATAATGTTAAATGCTAATGTTTTTAATAGTGAAAATAAACTGCATTTAACATTTATAGTTAAATAATAAACTCAATATAATTTAAATACTGAAATCAAACATTTTTAAAACGAAATACACTATTACAATGAAAATTTTTCCAATAAGTATTTAATGAGACGTGAGTAACAAATTATAACTAAGATTAACATGTCAATTTATTTTAGACGATAATAATAAAATAAATAATTTTTTAATTCTTATTCCTTATACAGTAATACAAGAAAATAAATGTTTCTTATTTCTTATAGCACTTCGTAATCACGGGCCACTGATAAATACAAATTCCGTTCATCATTGGTGAAGGCAGCGGTGATGATAATGATAAGAATAAAATTGTTGGCCTTATCTATTAAAATAAAAATAAATAGTCGAAAGTTTTGATAACTCAGAAAGTTAGAAATCAAAAACATAAATCTTAAATCTTAATATTATATATCAATTGTTTCTATTACAAAACTCTAAAGTTGATGTCAGATGTATTGATAATCATTAACTAACCACTGGGTATTAAGTACAATTATTAATAATTACTGAAATACTAATTTAATAATATTAAAATAAATTACACTAACATTCATTGTGATAAAACCTAAAATGACCTTTACTGCTCTAATGGCCAGAAATATTCAAAAATGTTTCAAATATATAATGGTTCCACAGAATATCAGACAAATGTCATCAAAACTTGCCGAAGCAGACTTAAAAGTAACTGATGATTGTGTAAAACGCCTTGAAGCTATTTGTGACAAAGATGAATTCCTCCGTCTAAGTGTTGAAAGTGGTGGCTGTTCTGGATATCAATACAAGTTTGAATTAGATACAAATATTGAAAAAGATGATTGTGTATTAGAAAAGCAAGGTATTCGGATAGTGGTGGATACAACTTCCTTAAATTATATCAAAGGATCAACGATTGATTATGAACAACAGTTAATCAGAGCTGCTTTTAGATTAATAAAGAATCCAAAAGCAGAAGATGGATGTTCTTGTGGAGCGTCATTTGCAATAAAAATTGACTGAATATATTTTAGTTACTTGTGTATTTAGTGTAAATAATATAATATTATATGTTATACCTTATTGTTGAATTTTGTTATGTGTTTTTAATATTAAAAAATAGTATTTTTTAAATGCATACATCACCATTTTGTTTTACCTTAGTGATTAAACTATTAATACTAAGATTAATAATTATGAACTTCATTATATTTATGATATAAATATATCATTCAACATATTATACCTTTTAATACTTCATTTTCTTTTCATAATATTTTTCCAAATAATTCTAAAATGCACTCCTGGGTCTTGTCAAATACTGTAATACCAGTGTCCAGTGCTATATTTGGGGGTACCTATATGTGTATGGTACTCACTTCTCTAGTTGTTTTTTTTCAATATAAATATACTCTAAAATATGAAGTGTGACAATCTGTTATAATATAGTCATATGGTTTTTACGGTCAATAAAAAGTATATGGAAAATACTTTAAATTATCATAAACTCATTTATGACCAAAGTTATTTTAGTGTTAATACTATAAACACCATTTTAGAATTATTTGGTTTAAGTTAAATATTTTATACTTCTGAAATGTTATATAATATTTAGAAAAAGTCAAGTTAAGATATTATAATCTTATTTGGTTACCAACAATATTTTATAAGCTTATTACTTTTCATGGGTATATTACTGAATACTGGGTATCATTAATAATGATTAATCATAATTAATACGACGATTTAAAATATACCTATTTATTTAGGTATATCTTAGATCATGATAAATACTTATCTGTATGGGTTAAAAATTTAGGATTTCAATTTACAAAACTAGAAAGTGGAATCTATGTGTGGCTTCTTTCCTTTCACATTTTACATTGGGTTTTCATTATTTGTTTGGGAAAAAATAATACAATAAATATCCACATCATAAAAAGTATTAAGTAAGTACCTACTTACATAGAACACTGAACAATCTATGTCATTTGTATCTGAATCTGAAAGTCATAATAAGGCCTTAACTACTAAAGGGAGCAAGAAAACAAAAATTTCAAGCGACATAAAAAAAGTTTTATTCTAACTTTATGATAAGATTTTTAGTTCTTTACCATTGAGTCATTAGTCATTACTCATTCGTCATCTACCTCCGTTAAAATTGGATTATGCCAACGAACATTTTTAGCAATACTGAATACTTCACTGGTAAAACTTTATTTTTATATGAATGGGTATCTACTGTAACAACTATTTTTAGATGCCTAGCTAGATAAAAATTATTTAGGTATAGTAATTATGTCACAAGTTAAAAGTTAATTAATTTCTATATAATTACTATGGTTCTAAAATTAAAATTAACTGGATGGAGGATTGGAGGCTAACTTAAATGCCTACCAATATATTTTTTGATTTATTAAAACATGTCAATCCATTCATAACGGCTAACTTCAATAGGTACTTATATGATACATTTTTTTTATCTATATCTGTGTTATAGTAAATAGTATTCAGTAGTAAATTTCAAATTTGTTCAAAGGTTAATGTACTATGTTGAGAATTTAATTAATTTAGGCACTCTGGGGCCTAGGCACTGAGCCTAGAACATATTCACAAATAGTACATAAGATAAACGTTGTATAATATTTGTATATCATAAAACTATTATTAAATATCTAAGCTGCACAGCACAATTAAAGATACGCTTCAGACCGGCATGTCAAACACGTGGCCCGCGGGTCTCATTTTTTAAGGCTCGTGGTTGATACAAATGTAATGAAAAATTAATTGAAAAAAAAATTACACAACTTCCATTTCGTGTCACATCTATGTTAGCGATAAGTACACATATAATATTCGTTATGTTACTTTTCTGTTTTATTTTAGCTGATAAACTGTAATTAAATTGGCATTGTAGTATTGTAAGTAGGTAATGAATACAATTAATAATGTGTGCAAAATGTTGATTTTCGATAAATCTGTATGTGCGCATTGTTACTCGTTCAATATATTTAGCCCAGACAATACTTTGAGTTTGACAAGCCAGACTTAAGGTATCTTAAATCATAATATTGTTCTATGCTTAAATTGTCCTCCACCGTCCGAAAAGTGCGGGAATTTTTTTACAGTGTAATCTTTATTCAATATTCCAACTTTTGGTACTTTTAAAGTCAACACTGTTAGATAAACACTAGCATTCCTTGGGTTTTAGTTGATACATTTATTTTTGGAATTAAATAAATATTAAATTATTATAAAATAATATGCCTCTTTGACGCTTAATTCTTATCCAGTAATCAGTATTCCAGTTATCCATAAGTTGCCTAGTGGCTAATAAAATAATTTGCGTTCTTATTTCTTGCCTGTAATTTATAATTGCAAAATTGACATTGTTCCATTTTTACCGAACAGTAATATAAAATCATTTAACTGTTCTTTCTTGTTTATAAGACTATACAATTATAATAGTACGATATTTAATATTTGATTGCACTGTAACAAAAACACTACGATAAATATTTTGGTAAGTTTAATAAATAATATATTTTTTTAATAATTGCACTAAACCATATTAATTAATTTAGGTATATGTGCAGTGATTTCATTTTTATAGTTCAAATAATATTGCGGTGTTTACTTCGTGAAGGTTTAAAATTGTTTTAATATTATCGAACATGATATTATTATCGGCTTAAGCAGGCCCACCCATAAAATGTTGGGTCCCTGTACTGAATGTTTTTGCGAGCCCTGTACAAGACTTCCAATAAAATACAACACTTTACAAGCGATACAAGTAACCCATACACGATTTTTGCTTAATACATTATAATATAAATTTATTTCATTAAATATTATTTACAATAAGATCAGTACTCCCGTAAAAATTCAAAAATTCAAAATAATTTCATTTCAATGAGCCAATAAAATAGCCAGGCCCTTGTACTCCAAGTTCAACAGCCCATCCTCCTGGGCTTAAGCAAAATTAAATATTAAGAATATAAAAATGTATTACATTAAAACAATTTTATAATACACAATTACCAATTCTATGAATTTTGATTTATTTTTATTAAGTTATGCACATAGTTTGGGCAAAATTCAAATGTACCCACTGAGATTAAAAAACAAGTATCTATTGTAAAATTATTTCATAAGCAAAATAGCTCCTTAGGCAAAAAGCCTTCTTTTCTCTTGATTTTATTATAGTTAAATATAATTTTAAAAAAACACTTATCCATGCAATAATTTAGTTGATATTACTTTCAGGTAACAATTCCTGAGTATAAAGTGTTAAATAATTGTTTTTGGCATGGATTTAATTTTTTTCCGCTTGTTTATGTAAGGCACTGAATCTAATAGGTAGGTATTAGAAAAAAAATGTTCTATTGTATTCAAACATTTATAAACCAATTCCAGTATAATAATCATCTAGAAAAGAATTATTTATATTTTAGAAAAGAAATTGTAATTTACCGCAGTTGCTAAAAATATATAAATAATAATTTGTTAAAATATTTAGTAAATATTATTGTATACCTACTACTAAATTTTATATTTTTTATATGAATTTCAGTTACCGAACACAAACTAATTTGTAATTGTTGATGAATAAATGTATGAAATACAATTAAACATTGAGCATTAATATCAACAACAAACATATGCAAAAGTAAAATACAGTTATATTCAAAAGAATATCGACCATGGATGAATTGTGTGATAAAATGTCAGTCATCAGTGTTACACCCTGTAATCTTGTAACAAATTATGAAAAACTAGAATTATTATCAGAATCAGAACCTGAAAAAGTATTTGCATTCCTAATTAATAACAATAATTTCAAATATACGTTGAATAAATGTGTAGATATTACAGTTCTCATACATTTGATGAATATATTTTCAAAAGTAAAATTATTACAATTAACCCAAATAAAATCTACAGCTTTAGATATGATATATAATTCAAAATATTTGGAACACTTAAATAACTCTCTTATTGATGTTACTAAACTTGAAGATTTACTTAGTGAGATTAAACTACAAGAATTCTTTATTAACTGTAACACTATATTAGAAATAATTGCAAATCCCAAATCTAAAGAACTATTGAATGAAATAATACAATTTATTCAACCCATATTACTTGAATCAAGCTCAACGGATATTCAAGCATTAGTGTTGATAAATGATGACACAGAGACTGAAAAAAAGTTAAAAAATGCTGTGCATTATGATGTTAAAAGATGGCCCCAATGTTATAACTCTCTTTCTATTTATCCTGCAATCACAGATATTACTGCAAAAAGAGTAATTTTGAGTCCAAATATAATGAAAGGGAGTTATGATAATATAGAACATTACATTGACGTACAGTTTCGTTTGCTTCGTGAAGATATTTTAGCTCCTATGCGAGAAGGTATTCAATACTATAAAATAATGAATGAACTTAACCAAAAATCTGTTACAAATATGCCAAATATGCGTATTTATTTTGAGGCAAAGATTACAAAAAAATATTATAAAGAAAAAGAATCCTTTTTAGTACATTTTTTCACCAAAGAAGATTGCTCAATTAATTCAAAAAAATTTATGTTTGAATCCCTTTTGGTATTTAGTGATGATAATTTTAATTCAATGTTCTTTGCTACAGTTATAAAAATGAAACGGCAAAATGAAATATCAACAATAAAAAAATTAGTAATTCAGCCTTTGGGTAATAAGTCATTAATTAAATTGAAATCTTCTTACACTATGGCTGAATCTGATGCATATTTTTTACCTTACATGTATAGTATGGATGTTTTGAAGACATTTAACCATTATAATTTCCCCATGAAATCATATATTGTGTATGGAAAAACTAAATCTAAGGTTCCTGCATACTTAAAATATAATTCAAAACTATACAATATTAATGGTTTACAGTTTGATATTTTAAATGATAAATTTTGGCCAGATAACAAGGTTCTAGGACTTGACTGTGCTCAAAGAACAGCATTTAAAGCGGCATTAACTGAAGAATTTACTGTAATTCAAGGACCTCCTGGTACTGGAAAAACATATATTGGTCTTAGAATAGCCAAAAGTATTATAGAGAATATGTATGAAACAAATATACTTAAAAAACCGATTGTAGTTGTTTGTTATACAAATCATGCTTTAGATCAATTTCTTGAAGGCTTAATTAATATTACTAAAAAAATTACAA